GAAAAAAATGGGAAAATGTGGAACCCACATGAACTTGGAATCATCCATTGAGTAAAATGTTTTGAATAAAAATGGGTAGATGGTCAAGCAACCCACATGAGTTGATATCCCACAAAATGCCGTATCTCTACGTAGTGTCATAAGCCTTCTCAAGATTAAAGAAAACAGAAACGTGATGTTCCCTCTTGAAGAAGGCTTCCATGATCAAGGTCTCAAGTCAAATCAGGTGGGCCACAGTGGAGTGCTGTTGATGGAACCCACACTGGGTGGGTGAGAGGAGGTTGTTCGATTTGAAGGACCAAACAAGATGAGCATTAACCATCCTCTTTACGACGTTACAGAAACAGCTAGTCAATGTAACTGGATGATAATTAGAAGGAATCTTGGGATCCTTCCCAGGCATAGAAAAAGGAAGGACAATATCGTGACACCAAGCATCAGGAAACACATTCTCCTTTCAGTTAAAGACAACTAGAAAAAGAGAAAGAGAGGCAGGAGAGAGACAGTGCAGCATCTCATAGTGAATATCATTAGGTCCGACTGATGTACTGCCAGACTGATGAAGAGCAAGCTTCAATTCCACCAGTGTAAAGGAGTGATTAAAATCATAGAGATGATCAGCCCGACAGGTTATTAGGTCTGACCGATGTACTGCCAGACTGATGAAGAGCAAGCTTCAATTCCACCAGTGTAAAGGAGCAATTAAAATCATAGAGATGATCAGCTCGAAAGGAAAGAGGTTATCATTCTGCCTGAGACTTGACAGCCGAAAAAGTGAGGGAGAAACAGAAGTGCTGGATGCATAAGAAACGCTCTCGCAGAAAGCAACAGCAATGCTCTGTATATCAGCAACTTCCTGGCCATTAAAGAGCAAGATGGAAAGGGGATGAGAAGTATACCTCCAATTGACCGTCTGAATCTTGTCCCATATGACTTTGGAACTGGTGATAGAAGAGATGCTAGTTGTAAATTTAATCCAAGATTCCTTATGGCTTTGATGTCTGACCTGCTAAGCAGAACCATGAGCCCACTGGAAAGCAATCCAGTTGGAAAAAGCAGGATGCCTGGGAAATGTATACCAGGCCCACTTCTGAGCCTTCCATGCCTGCTGGCAGGCTGGAAACCACCGTGGGATACATGATGAGGTTTTAGGTATAGAACGAACAACTGTTTGAATGATGCAGTCAGTTATTGCCTCCATGCAGTCATTAATAGATGGAAGATTAACAAAGCAGAATCGACTTCTGTGAGAGAGGCGAAAGAGAGCCAGTTGGCTTGGTCCAACTTCCACCATGGCACTCACGTTAGGTGGCATCGACCACAGCCAATCTCCCTTAAAACAATAGGAAAATTATCACTGCCCCATGGGTCACTGTCAAACCTCCAAGAAAAATGAGAGAAGAGTTAAGAAGAACAGATAGAAAGATCGATAGCAATAAAAAACTGACTAGGTGCATGAAAATAGGTGAAGAGAGAAAGGTTGTGATCCGAGAGCATATGCTCTACGGAACTACCCCGCCCATCATTATCAGTCCACTCCAGAGAGGAATGTGTCCATTAAAGTCTCCAAGAATTACAAATGGGGATAGAAACTGTTCTATGAGAGCATCAAAGTCTGATTGATTGTAAGTCTCTCCAGGAGACAGGTAGAGAGAACAAAAAGTGATGGTAACACTATGGCCTCCAAGGGAGTATTGAGTGGCACAGAACCTGTCATTCCAGTATAAAGAAAACTGTCAATAGGTGACTGTATCGGCTGGTCTCAGGAATGTTTCCTGTAAGGAAAGACACACAGGATGATAGGAATCGATCTTAATGTCATCCAGATTAGAACAAAAACCTTGACAGTTCCACTGGATCAAAGTGGCCATTTTTACTTAGATGGAGGAGAATTGGATGGAGAACCCTTCTGTTTACGATCATGCCATTTTTCTTTATTATAAGAAAGTCTGTCAACCTCCATGGATCCTGCCCTTGGGCGAGTGGGCAGGTTTTTGTCATTAGACTTAGATTCCAGCAACTGAGGGCATGAATGAATAATCATTCTGCATCTCAAGGCCAAAGAGGATGGACCTGAACAGACACCGGGAGCCAGAACCAAAGGAGGTAAACCTAGGCATTCACTGAAAGGAATGGAGGGGACAGAGATAGAAGTAGACATGGATTTGTCAACTCATTTATCCATAGAGGCCAAAAGACTGTTCGCATGATGCAAAAAAACTCTGATGGAGGCACTGAAAGCTCTGTCTGCACACCCACTGTAGTAGCGTAACAACGTATGTCCATGATAGAGTCAGGGACAACTTTCGAGCCTCCAGATAAGACATGTTGTTAACCATTTTTAAACACTGTACCTCTTTCTCTTCCACACAATTAGGGCAAGATCTATAGTAAGAGGGGTGGAAACCACTACAATTAACACAGTAAGGGTCCAGTTTACACTTGTTGGCTTTGTGGTCTTTGCCACCACAATGAGTACACATCACAGAACCACAACACTAGAAACATCTGAGAGGTTAGGGAATATATAGCTGTACCTTACAGCAGGTGGACGTGGCAATGTAAACATCAAAATAAGAAAGCAGCATAATTCCTTCTTTATGGAACTCCTTGGCTGGAGGTACCAGTGAGGATCTCCAACTCAGGGATGTTCTTCAAATCCCTCTCAACAATAACTCAACATGCATACCTCTCTGAGAATTTTTTCATTTATGTTTTCTTGTCTAACCTAACAAGTTTCAGATTTTTATGTTTTCGTTACTTTTACATCAATCAATAATAAAAATACATAAAAAACAAGAAATTTAGTGCTTACACATGGGTCTTGTACATTTTTGCAGCCAAAGCCTGACATGCAGTTTCACAATGGGTGAAATTGAGCAGACTACCTTAAATAGTATAATATTTTTCAGTGATTTCTTCTCAAGAACAATCTACCAAATCAAGAAAATCCAGTGCTGGACAAGATTTGTAAAGCAAAGCAAGATGGACTATTCTTGTTTTTTCTGTGTTAAATCCAGTGATACAACAAACCTTCTTCTTATGTCATGTGCCAATGAAAACGGTATTCAGAACATGAGAACCTCTGTCATGCTTTGTTATATCTTTGCATTATGTCTTGATTGTTGAGCATACCATGAAGCTGAAGAAGTTATTTATGAGATGTTTCATCATCAAGATATGAGTGACACATTTGTGGAATGCTAGGGAATGGGCATGGCTTTTTTTTTTAAGTACATACTAGTCCTTAGATTTTCCCCATATTGTTGATATCCAGTCTCTCTCAATCTTGTTGATATTGTCTTTGTGATGAATGTTGATTTTATCTGGTAATTTTAGGCCTAGTTTGTGATATGTAAAAGTCTAGAGAGAAAGCGGTTCAACCTATTCTAACTAGGTAATGTTAATTGCATGATTTCCAGCTGTTTGTGCTATGAAATAAAAGTAAATATTATTAAAGAGTTGTAATATTACAGGTTAATTAATATTTGAAAAAATATTACTAGTTTACAACATAGGTGTGAAAAATAACATGTAAACTTTTTTAATTGGTGCTAGGTGTATTTGCATGCAAGCCCAATTTTAAAGTAAGTCCATTCTGCTTTTTAGAGTGTACAGAAGTACATGTACTGAAGTATTGCTGGCTTGCTCTGACCACAATTATACCTATCTTGAATAGTGAAGACATGCTACAAATACTTCTCCATCATAAAAGAGCAGACAGTCTCTCTTAGTCATCACTTCCTTCTTCCAGATATGTTTATATAAGTGGTTTGATCCACAAGGTTTTCTTGCTTCCACCAAATAGTCAAATAGTCCTCCTCTCATCAGTATCAGCTGTAACTTCTGTCATCTTAGATAAATGGGATCACCCCCTTGACATCTACATCCAAGGAGAAAGACTCTCTCCATGTATGCATGTTTCAGAACATTTGCACCCATAGAAATGGAATGAAATTCAAGTTTTGTAAATTTCTTGAGGTCATTGAAGGTTTGTTTCTCGTGAGATTTTGTAGTGGAGAAATAGGTAGCCTAGTTTTTAAATGCTTTTCAGGATGGATGACAACTTACAAAACAAGACTGAGAGACATCTGATTCTAATATGGTTATATATTTAGTAATAGGTTCTAACAGCCTGACCATTTCACATCTCTAGTCATTATCCAGGATAAACATGAATTATTTAAAAATTGATCCACATTGTTTAGTTTTTATCATTAAATTTGTGTATTTCTGATGGATAGGCTATTTCCTTGTGAATTTCATGATTATCTCTGTACCATTAAAAGTTTTTATTCTTGTTGTCAGTCAATAGTAAATTTAATTTTTCTTTCAGGATTCTGTAAAAGCTATCATAAATGAACACCAAAAGCTTCATATAGTTCTTACTGGGAAAACCTTTGCTTTATTGAGAGAACATTATCCAGAACTCCTGAAAAAGGTAACATTATATGTTTCATTTATGATTTCATTTAAAAATCTGACAAAAGTAACACATTTAATAAGTTTTGAAATCTATTATTACACACTAGCATATTGTAGTATGCTTATGAAAATTATTTATGATGATGTTAGAGTATTATATTGTCATATACAACAGGCAGTAATATTTAAGCAAAAATATTCAAATTTTGTTTTTGATATAACCTAATAACTCTTTGGGAAAATAACTTTCTTCTTCTACTTCACATTATTGTTTCTAGTTTCAACCTTCTCATGTTCCATTGCATTGAATATGGCATTCTCATTAGAAAACTGTTTAGAAGATTAAGCCTTTATTTGAAGTTGCTTGTTTATAGTGGAATGTTCTGGATCTCCAATCCGAGTTCCTTTGGCCATGAGAATATTTCAAGACATTAAAACTGTTTTAATAATACTGATATAAAGCAATGCATGTGTGTCATGAAAACAATTCAAATTTTATATTCCTAGAAACATATGAAATACCTTACCAAATAAAACTTAATAATTAATTATAAAAGAATAAAAGAAGTATTTACCTTTCTCAATGTTTTAACCTGTTCATATTTTTTTGTTGGTAAACTGGCAAAATCCCATGACAATGTAGGAACATTTACATCTTCAATTTGAGTTGTGGATAACTGAACTACCTGATTATGCTTCACAATCATACCACAGTCGTAGGCCACACTCAAAGCTGTTAACATGTTATCACCTATAAAGATGTCTCAAACTTTTTACTGTATTTCTTGCCAAATTACCTCCTAAAATAACAGTTTTTACCAATATCCTTGTACTCAGATTTGTTATATATCATAGTGTTGCTAAAAGATAACCAAAACAATGATGACATAAAACATTCAGACAATAAAAACTCATTATATGATGAGCTGAGAACACAAGTTAATATCAAACTAAGACAATCAATGGTAAGGAATTTTATTTCAATACAGCCTTAAATGAGTTTAGTTGGAAAAATCTATCAGTAGTCTTAACTATACATATATGTATATAGTCCAAGCAGCTGATAAATGTTTCTACCTAAACTTATTCAAAGCTTCAATGAAGTGACATTCATTTATATGTGGGTGTATAAGTGAATATAAAAGCTCAAGAACAAATCAGTGTTTTATCTAACTCAAAGACAACATGAAATATACCTTCAGAATTATAAAGGTTAATGACAGTTGTTAAAAAACAAACAACTACAACAATTACAGCCGATAAAAAATAAGCTAAAAAATATAGGAAAATATCTAACTTAAAATCATATAATATTCATATGAAATATTCATTATCATATATATTTTAACTTAAAATATATAGTCATTTAAAGTATTAAGTATGGTAGTACTTAATAGTAGAGATTAACAAGGTTTCCACCCTATTGAATTCCTTAGCGAAAAACAGACCATTCAAATTATTGGTTACGATATATTATATGCATATATACTAATAACATGCTAAAAAGATCACTAACATTTTCAGCATAATCATTCAAAAATCTCTAAAACAATAACTTTTTTCATCTACTACCTGCCTACCTATGTGATCATGTCAGCAGGGCTAGCCCCTAGACAGCTTGAACTATCGCTACAAGATTTATCCAGCTTAATTGATTGGTCTGTGGGTATCCATTTTTGATATTGTGATAAATATATACAGATTTTTTATAGATGGTAAACATATCGTGCACGTACTTAAACATCATTTAAACCCAAATAAACCCAACAGAAGGCGCTACCTGTTGATGGATAGACACGAGACAGTTTCTAAAGGTACATTATATACTTTAATATAAGTTTAACATAACATTTGCTGTTATGTTAAACTTATATTAAAGTTTTTCTTCATTACCCATTCAAGCCGTCTCCAGCTATTACTAGTCTCAAAGTGGGTTCCTCGTCATCGAATTATATACTTTTTACGGGTATAACATAGAAAGTAAACAAATAAGTTTTAAAAAATTACAAATTTTAAAATGAAGTAGGGATTCTGTTAAAAGTAATGAAACAATAATTCAAACCACAATCAGAAATTTATACAATTTAATCCCTACTTTGGCAGCTTTCTACACTTATATGTAAACCAAAGCGAGGATAACAGTTTGGTTTTGATTCTTGTGAAAGTTATAGCTATCAGGGATATGACTATATTGAAAATTTATAGATGTTGTATCCATTCCATTGACATATAAAACTGAACAAGTAAAACAGGAAAAAATTTTAATGTAAATTAGGGATTGTTGATTATTTGTAGAATTGATATAAGAAGTATCCAAAACAAATGCTGTAATAAAATGTACACAAACAAGTAAAGTGATGCTATTTAGATAGATTTTGCCAACCAAAGTAGGGACTGAAAATCGTTCTAAAATCTATCCAACTAGTATCGCTTTACTTGTTTGTGTACTTTTTTTATTGCAGCATTTATTTTGTTTTGGAGAAATTCTACGATTAACTAACGATCCCTACTTTTGTTAAAATATAATTTTTTTTTCTATTTATTATAATGAATCTTAATTAAACATTAAACATCAATTATTAGAATAATAATTAATAAATAATATCAATGTTTAGATTGCAAAATATATTCTCTAAATCCACCAAATTACAGAATATTTTACTGAAACAATGTTTTTCTGACTTAAAATATTAATAAACACCAGATGAAAGTTAAATTAAATTAAACATGTACCTGTAACCATAACAGGACGAATGTTTGCAGCTTTTAAGATCTCTATGTTTCCAGCAGTTTCTGATTTCAGACGATTTTCCATCACTAACAGCCCCTTGAAAACCAAGTTAATTTCTAGTTCCTCTCTTGAAATTCTTTGAACTTTAGCATAAGAAATCTTGTACAAAGGTCGATGTGCTAGAGCTAGTACTCGGTGTCCTTGTTGTGTATAGGTTTGTAACACTTGGGCAAAGTCTTCTGGTACTATAAGACAATCAGACCAATGCTCATCACTACAGAAATTACAGTTATTCAAAATCAAGCATCACAAAAACTCTTTATTATGAAGTACTATGAAGCTTTATAATTGTAAAAAAACAAGAAGCATAAGTTAAGATCACACCTCAGCATTAAAATTATCATTAAGAGTAGGTTTTATGATGTATGTGTGAGGGTGGGGCAGTTTCATTAATGCATAATTCTCACTTTATTCTAGCAATAACATTAACCTTTTCAATACGGGTCACAGGTGAAAGGCCATGTCATTGCGTTTGTTGACTCACATTCAAAATTTTATTGAATTACTATTTCATGAATTGATGTCAATAATTTTGGTATGAAATTGTAGACTATAATTTAAATTATAATATTATACCTTACTTATTTTCTTAATTTAAAAATAAACATTAAAAAACAAAGTTAAACATCAATTTTTGTGTGTCACAGGGTATGTCAAAATACTAAGTCTATAGTTTCGTACAAATTAGGAACTCAAACTACCAATATTGACAAGCTAGAATATAAAATAAGAAGGTCTTATCTTTTCTATTTGCTAAGATATTGCTCATGTACTGAATCAAACACAGTGGCCCCTTGCCCACCTCTTTCCATTTTACACATATACACTTTCTTCTATATATGACATGAATAACCAATCAAAAGCTCAGAACATCCCCTTGGTTGCTTTCTGAGCCATTTTCATGTGTTAGGATGCCATCTCATTCTTTCAAAACAAAATTTCATGGAGGAAAGTTGTGTCTGTAGTCTGCTTGAAATTTCATATTTTTTTTAGACTGAAATACAGCTTAGTTACTAAACTTCATAAATTATAATGGAATTCTATGGTATCATTATAGTAACTTAACATTTTTTTTGGTTATTTCAAATATATATATAAAAAGCTTAGCAACCTACGACAAGCAGCAAATGAGTACATAGGTCATAACTAGAAGAGATAATTGTTTGCTTTACTTCTTTATTTTCTGTTCTATGTTTTAAGAAAAATAAGTTTATGTATATACATATATATAATGTATAATAATTTTACAAAATACTAGTCTACTAAAATACAGCCAAGACAAGTTACTTTGCACAGACCAAAGGTCAGTTTTATGTTATTTGATATGGTATCATGAATGCATCTGTGCCGCATCATTGTAACTTCTGTATTGTTAATGAGGCATGGCTGAAAGGTCAATATAATAAATATATATAAATGGATAATGTTATGAGATTTAAGGTATTTAGACTAAATATTTGTGTTTTCGTGTTACAATCTGTAGTCATTCTAGAACGAAACATAATTTAAATTTATTTCCTGATTTTTTATGGTGGTTACAAGGCCGGTCAAATTGACGGACCCCATAGAGTTAGGGTAGAGAAAATAACAGAAAAAATATAAAGTTTTACTGAAAACAAACATTTGAAATGTATTTAAGAGGTTTTAGAGATTACACAAATAATATTTGAGATTTTTGGGACGAACAATTGTTTTTTATTTATAACATGAAAATCACTTTGCACTTGGACTGGTAATGAAACAAACTTGATATTTTCACAAAACAAATCTATAATAAAAAATACTTCATTAAAAAAAATCTGATATTTTGTGTATGAAAGACTTGTAATCTTTACTAAAAGTCTACCAAATTTTGTGAAGATGCACTTACTGCATTAAACGTTATAGTACAAATACTTAACTCGTGTATATTATACCAAGTCCATCGTGAAAGGGGTAATGTTGGTTTCTTTGCTGCCAGAAATTTAAAACATTCAGTATATAACCTGAAATAACTATAGTGACATCAATATGTTTAAAATACATCTTGGTTTATTTACCAACATAACCTAACAGAATCCTAAAAGTACTTCTAAATAACCACAAATACTTTAATAATTTAAAAGTGTAGCTTGAATGCTGTTATTTTTAACCTGGAAAAACCTAATTATACAATCATATACAGGTGTAATATTACTCTCCTTAAATGTGATGTGAATATTGTTTCTAGCAAAACCTGACAACACCGTACTCATATCCCTACCAGCAGATGGGATATTGGTATCCTCAAGGTTATCCTCAAGTGCAGGGTCAGTTCATGCAGTATCCGTATGGACAGTACTATGGTCAAGGATTTGGGTAAGTTTAAACTTGGGATCGGACTGATACCACTTGCCCTACACCATACAGGATGACACTACATGAAATCTGCATCTATAATCGTGGTAATAAATAATTATCTATTGTAATAAATTGTCTACATAATTATTTGCATGTACTCATTAGATTAATTGAAGATAATATTTTTAACAAGGCTGAAAATCTCTTTTCTTTTTTTTCGTGCTTGTATCTGGTGCTGTTAAAATATTTGGTTTGGATCTTTCAATAAAGAAACTGCTGACTTTCTTTTATTGTGTTTATTGCTTCATTTTGTTTTTATATTAAACTTAATTTTATTAAATAAAATGTTGCTGATGTATTTATAGATGTTCTGTTTATTTTCCTAATTATTTACAGTATTTACTAAAAGCATAAGATTAGTTTTGAAAACAGAAATACAAGGAGAATGGAGATGATCTAAAAGTGTTCTGTTTAAAGACTAGAAAAAAAGCTCTACACAGAAGAAGAAGTGCATACGAATATCTTAAGAACTGTGGTCGTGCTTATATTATCTATTTGTTATGTGTAATATTCTTTTAAAATTCGATTATTAAAATTAATTTGTTGCAGGAAACTACATATAAACCATATTAAATTGAAGAACACTTACTTAGGTGAAACTAGATTTAAACTTATGACTTTACTCTCCTATCAAAATCACATATACAAATTCATCTTCACACCATTAGGATTAAACTCGTGGTGAATTCCAAAATAACTAACATGTTCAAGTGTTAGAATCAGAGTTTTGTACCGAAACAAGGATGGAATTTAGACCAACTAATTAATTAGCAAGTTCTTGTATTTGATGCAATAATGAGGGCACTGCTGTCTTATTGAAGACTCTTCTTCCAACAGTATGGGTGCTCAGATGGCCTGGCAAGGAAATCCAGGACAGTCACAAATGGCAGCAGCTGCTACCCAGAGCCTCATTGGACAACAGGCTGGAGTGATAGGTGCCTATCCCATGCAGCAGTACCAGGTACAATAAGTCTCATCTGCTTCATGAATCAGTCAACCCAGTTTTGGAATAACTATTCCTACCAAACTCCTTTTTCCTGGCTAAGAGATTACCAGTCAGGCTTGTTCATGAAGGGGTGCCTGGTTGATTTGATGACAGTTCTCTGGTTCTTCTATGACTCGTCTGTACCCTCTTGCCCACAGATTAACAGTCTTTGGAGAAATGATTTGGAGTTAGGTTGGATTGTTATCATTTTAGACAGGGAAATTTACTTGTTTAGCTAGGACCATTTGATTTCAACATTTTATATGGCTAGAACACCATTTTTGGTGCAGTTAAGAGCATGTAGTTTTTCTCTAGCTTACCAGATTAGAGCCTAACCTGCCTCCAAGTCACCTCTCCTGATTCACAAATTCCTTTTTAATGTTACAGAAGAAGGGATAAATTACATATAAAGAGTGTATATACATATATATGTGTGTGTGTGTTGTTTTACAGATATCTAGTTATTAGTGTGAGGTATATGTTCATTGTACGTAAGTAGACATGAAGCTATAATCGCCTTGCCTTACTTCATCAGTGTGTATTATACACAACCAAGTCACTTTGCTTACTTGCTTTTTTCTCAACTTTGTAAAAGTCACTGCGTAACAAGTGTAGCTTAAAAAGTATGATAGGAAGATATAAGTAATGTGTTCAGTGTGCATGTGCACAACAGAAAGTTTAAAATCAAGAAAAATGTGTACAAAACTCCTTTGTGACGCTTAAACCCTGTTTAGTGTACTGTAATTTTTCTATTTTGTTTTAACCATGAACAACCTGATAATTTTATGGAAAATCAAACTCTTTATTGTTAACATGGAAGATGTTTCTTAAATTCCTCTACACTTATTGGGTACTTGTGTGATTTTTTCAAGCAAGCAGAATGTTTTCCTTTGTATCATTCTTCAGCTGTTCTGTGTTTTCCAGTTATTTCATAACATCCTAGTCTACTTGTTCTATGTGTCCCAACTCTAGGAAGTACTTGTTAGCTCCCTGCACAATAACTGTTCTGAAAACAGTTGGATAGTAGTTGGAGTGTGATGAAAAGCCCTCTCCTTCTTAAGAAACACATTAGTCAGTGTTGAAAAACCTTCTATCTTAAGGAACTGGGATTGAACTGTTGAAAAGCCCTCTCCTATTTTAAGAAACAAATTAGTTAGTCTTAAAAATTCTTAATAAATAGAAATTAGTCAGAGACTGTAAAAAAGCCCCCTCCTGTTTTAAGAAACTGAAATTAGTCAGAGACTGTAAAAAAGCCCCCTCCTGTTTTAAGAAACTGAAATTAGTCAGAGACTGTAGATAAGCTCTCTCCTGTCTTCAGAAACCAAATAGTCAGTGGTGAAAACCTATCTTCTATCTTAAGAAATTATAACTTGTCAGAATATTGAAAACCCTCTCCTATCTTAAAAACATGAAATCAAAGTAAAAGTGAAGACTTGTGACACGTGTTACCTGCAGACCAAGTGATTTAAAAGGTAGAAACTAACTATAAGGCTGATATTTAAAACAGTTGGTTATTAAAATTTTGAATATAATGTAGGTTTCTAATAATCGACAAAAGTGGAATATAGCACGTTCATAAAGGAATTCAAACATCTCTTAAGTTGAACATTCACTATTCTCAAAATATGAAAACTTGGTTTTTCCATCATGTTTAACTAAAGGTATATATATATATATATATTTGTAACATTAATTATCTATTTGTTGCTCTCATGGGAGTTCTAACTTTCATATTTTAGTTTCATCAAGCTAGATATTTCAAAAGATAATCTTATACCTAAAGATAGTGATTCATTGTAAAGAATAAAGCTTATTTTTACGTACTAGAAGAAGGTGCTGTAAACACTGACTGATTGTAAACTGAAAGAATAATGTGTCAGGTTAACTGGAAGAACTTTCTCAAGGTGCTGTAAACACTGACTGATTGTAAACTGAAAGAATAATGTGTCAGGTTAACTGGAAGAACTTTCTCAAGGTGCTATAAACACTGACTCTTTGTAAACTGAATGGATAAAGTGTCGATTTGTGTGTCAGGTTGACTGAAAGAAGGCGCTGTAAACACTGAATCATTTTAAATTAAGAGGAAAAAGGAAGTGAGCAATGTACAATTTGTTTCTTTGAGGTAATCATCATTTAGCTCTGATATCATGTGACAGGTAAGGTATCTGTCATTTTGGACTGAAGATGCATGGGAGCATGTGAATTCTTTTCTAGAAATAAACAGTATGACATTAGCATAGTATAGATGTAGACATTAGTGATAGTTACTACTCAAACTCAGGAGTTCTTTCATTATATACAGAAAGTTGAGATGATGAAGTAAACTAGGTGTAATTCATTCTTTCCTCTCTTATGAAGGAGAGTTTGTTTCTGTGATAGTTTGCGATTGTCCTGTTCAAGCAAAGTTGTCTTTCTAGAGTAATGAATTAACTCATGTTTTTAAGTAAGGTAGGGTTTGTTTTAAGGCAAAGGTTTTGATAAAAAAACATCATTATTAAAGTTTCATCAATATCATAACTTTAGTATTTACTTCATAAGAAATTTGGCTTCTTTATTTTATGTAAAGTGATTTGGAAAATGTACACAACTTCAACTTTGCTGAAGAATTAGCCTGATCGAAGAGTTCTGAATGAATCTTTAACTGAACTATTTAATAAATAAATAAATAACACACAGTGCTGAATGGAAAATCGTGAAAAAGGAGGTGAACTACAAACTGTTCTTTCATTAAATAATTGTATCACTGAACACATACATTTAATTGACTGTTGATATTTGGCAAGGTATAGTTAAATAACTGGTGTATTAGGTTTGTGGAAAATTGTGTTACAGTGTGTGCTCTTTCTGTTGTATGAAAAGAAATGAAGAAAATACTTCAAATAAAATGATACATTTTTACATATTTGTTAGTGAAAATGATGACATACATTCCTGATACCGTGAGTTTGTGTCACACATCATAATTTGCAATGATTTAAAACAACTATACTGAGAGTTGTAAGTCTAATTTCAGAACTTGTCATTTGCAAGCGGTAAAAATATTGCACTATCTCATTATTACTACTGACTGTTATATATATCTCATAATATCATTTTGATATTGGAAATCTCACTGAAAATCAATGTCTTATCATGGTTCTTAGATATCACAAAGTTTTTACTTCAGCTACCAAAAATACTACTGAACATCAAGCGTTTTATTGGTGATGATGTTCATACTTCAAAAATACTAACAGATGCCATTCTCTTGCTGATGGCAGTGCTCTAACACTTGAAATGTTACTGAAGATTACATCTTACTGGTGGTGAGTTTTGGACACCAAAAATGTAATCAAACAACAAGTCTTTCACTGAATTTAGTGCTCAAACATCAGAAGTCTTAGTGGTGGCATGATGATCAGATACTGCTTGTCTTATCAGTGGTCGTACTCAGATACTTGGAATACTACAGATCACTGCCTGTCTTACTGCTTATGGTGATCAGACACTTGGAACACTACAGATCACTGCTTGTCTTATCAGTAGTGTTACTCAGATACTTGGAACACTACAGATCACTGCTTGTCTTACTAGTGGTGGTACTCAGATACTTGGAACACTGCAGATCACTGCCTGTATTACTGGTGGTGATCAGATACTTGGAACACTACAAATCACCGTTTGTCTTATCAGTAGTGGTATTCAGATACTTGGAATACTACAGATCATCACCTGTCTTACTGGTGGTGGTGATCAGATACTTGGAACACTACAGATCACTGCTTGTCTTACTAGTGGTGATACTTGGAATACGACAGATCATCACCTGTCTTATTGGTGGTGGTGGTGATCAGATACTTAGAACACTACAGATCACTGCTTGTCTTACTAGTGGTGGTACTCAGATACTTGGAATACTACAGATTATCACTTGGCGTAATAGTGATGGTGTCAGGTGCTTGGAGTACTACAGATTTTTTTTTACATATTAATACTGTTTTTAACTACAGTCTCTGTAATATACATCTAAATTTTTGTATGCCAGTGTATCTCAGTTGTGCCTCGTGTTGTCTTTTACAAGGTCTGATGTAGTTAATTACTCATTATCATACATACTGTTGATATGACTATTGTGCGGCGACATAATGTGAAGAACTGAATAGTGGCCAATGACATTTTTCGTCACTTCAGTGTATGGGTTTTTCTCATAGTGAATACAAAGCACATTCACAACATTATGTTTGATACTTTTCGCTATGATGTAGGTCCAGCTTATCTCTCTTTTTAACTGATGAAGAATGGAATTCTCCAAAACTAGTATAACCCAATAACACACGTTGATTAAAGTATAAATTGAACTGGACCTTCCTTGAACTTAAGACTTCGAAATTAAACAACTTTCGGAATATTAAGTTTATTTATTACTCATGATCATAAGTAATTGCTTTTCAGAAGGGTGTGTAAAAGCCATTTCTTTTATAAAACATTCATAAACTCAGATCATAAAGATGTATTCAGATCAGAGATTTGTAATTTTTAAAACGGGGATATCCCTTGCACTTAATGGCATTCGAAAACAAGGGAACGTGGGTCAGCTTGGGACAACAGGACCATCCAAAAGAGATCTGCAACAAGTTATTTCCCAGCTGCAGTATGCAAAATGCCATGTCTTGCAACACTTGAGAGTCCAAGAGCACAAAGTTCAGTGGCAAAAGCTGTCCACGTGCCCCAGACATCAGTATGCAACATCATCAAGAAGGATCTATATCTAGAAGAGTAACAGGTTTCTTGCACAACATATTTTTTTCAATCGTCACATACCTCAAGCAGTATGAGAATGAAACACGTATTCGTACTATACCGTATGAAGACACAACGGTTAAGTTGCTGGATTTCTTTGTGATCAGATTGTTGAAATGGACAATGGGAAACTTTCCTCATTGTATACTTAATGGTTTGTAGAAAATATCAAGAAAGAGTGGTGTGATTTGGACAGAACAACCTTACGAAGGAGCTTTTTGGAATGGAACCTTCATTTTAGCGTTATTGTCACAATGCACAGTCGTCAAGTAGAGTATGACTGGACGTGGCGACATAGACTGTATCGATATGTGGTGTTTCAAAATCGACCCTTACAGGCTATCATCAATATACATCAAACCCAAAAAAATTCAATAACAAATTAACTTGATTTTATTTTACATCAACATTAATCTTTTTTGTAATCGAAAGTTTACTGGTTGTGAAGAAATTTCCACAGATAACAAATACAAGCTCCATTTATAAATGTGATCTATTGTTAAAACCAGTATTTCTCCTGCGGGAAAAAAAAAGAAACAAAAGCGATTTTTAAAGAAATATTTGGAGTCAACGGTTTACAAAGAGAACCTTGAAATTTAAAATATCAAAATGACATGTTAAAGAAAAATGTAATACTCAAATTTTTGATCACATTTATCTAAAACGTAAAGACCTATCGGAGTTTAACGCATCAAAATAAATCTTAAATTGAAGGCATTGCACATTCCGAACAAAAAGTCTGGGATTAATAACATACCAAATCGGTAAAGATTGAAACTATCTACATAAAATTCTAAAATAGGGCACTCGCGGCCGAGATATATAAGCAAACACACACATGCCAGGTGGTTAAGGCACTCGACTCGCAATCTGAGGGTCGCGAATTTGAATCCCCGTCACACCAAACATGCTCGCCCTTTCAGCCGTGGGGGCGTTATAATGTGACGGTCAATCCCACTATTCGTTGGTAAAAGAGTTGGCGGTGGGTGGTGATGACTAGCTGCCTTCCCTCTAGTCTTACACTGCTAAATTAGGGACGGCTAGCGCAGATAGCCCTCGTGTAGCTTTGCGTGAAATTCAAAACAAACAAACACACACACATGTATCGTCTCTCAACAATCCACTATACGTGTTACAATTAAACTTGGCCTAGTGCGATTAACCTTTTCACCGCGCTGGGTGAAAAGAAGCAAAAGTTTCTGACAACCCCGGATTGTCTTTTAGGCCCCAAAATATTTTTAAAGCTTGAAGGATTTCTTAAATTTCAATTCCTACCACGAATTCGATTTGATGTTAAAGTCATTTTTGTTTATTTTTCTAAACGTATAATTTTTTACAGTTAATTAAGTTATTGTTAATTGTTATTGGTTTATTGTATGTGGTTATTGTTCGGGACGAACAATATTAAGGAGGCGGCAGTGTTGCGTCATCGAGATCACGTGATTATTCTCACGCCATCTAGTTTCTAGAACTACTACCCTATCTAGTAAATGCTAGGGCATTCATGAAGGAACAAGATCTGGTATATAAAAGAGGGTGACATCGTGACGAGATAATGTAATGTGTGTGTAGATAGTGAGTAATTGAACTGCAGTCAGAAGTATTATTGACGTTCGTTGATATAGCGTTTGTTTTAGCACGATTGTTGGAAATAAGTGTATCGTAAAGTTGTATTCGGAAAGAATAAACCAGTTTTATTAAGTAAGGACTTGTGTCGCTAATGTTTCGTTGGAACGAAGTTACGGAAAGTTAATTAACAAACAGAGACGTAACAATATAAATGTGTTAACTCTATCATGATACTACAACATCCATAAAAGTATAAAAATATAAATGTGTTAACTCTATCATGATACTACAACATCCATAAAAGTATAAATATAAATGTATTAACCCTATCATGGTACTACAACATCCATAAAAGTATAAAAATATAAATGTGTTAACGTTATCATGATACTACAACATCCATAAAAGTATAAAAATATAAATGTGTTAACTCTATCATGATACTACAACATGCATAAAAGTATAAATATAAATGTGTTAACCTTATCATGATATATCATGATAGAATTAACACATTTATATTTATACTTTTATGCATGTTGTAGTATCATGATAGAGTTAACACATTTATATTTATACATTTATGCATGTTGTAGTATAATGATAACGTTAACACATTTATATTTTTATACTTTTATGGATGTTGTAGCTACAACATCCATAAAAGTATAAAATATAAATGTGTTAACGTTATCATGATACTACAACATGCATGAATGTATAAATATAAATGTGTTAACTCTATCATGATACTACAACATCCATAAAAGTATAAAAATATAAATGTGTTAATTCTATCATGATACTACAACATCTATAAAAGTATAAAAATATAAATGTGTTAACCCTATCATGATACTACAACATGCATAAAAGTATAAAAATATAAATGTGTTAACGTTGATGCCATCAAATCTGCTAAGCTGTAGTTTGATTTTCCGCCTCTCGTTTTCCGCCTTGCCATCAGATCTTAACGGTTTATATATACAAGTCTACTGCATATCTAGTAAGCTCTCGAGATTTCAGAAAGGGACGTGAACATTCGACAAGATGACGTGTTACTAGCGTCACGTGACCTGCATTTTCGTAACAATATTTTTGGATTAGAAATTATTAAAATACTTAGATTTCTTATTGACACTTAAATTTTGAAATCCAATAGGCAGTTGTACACTTGATGCCCAAAAGATGCTCACCTATCATGATAGGGTTAACACATTCATATATATATATATATATATATATACTTTTATGGATGTTGTAGTATCATGATAACGTTAACACATTTATATTTTTATACTTTTATGGATGTTGTTGTATCATGATTGGGTTAACACATTTATATTTAGACTTTTATGGATGTTGTAGTACCATGATAGGGTTAACACATTTATATTTATTCATTTGTGCATGTTGTAGTATCATGATAACATTAACACATTTATATTTTTATACTTTTATGGATGTTGTAGCACCATGATTGGGTTAACACATTTATATTTATACTTTTATGGATGTTGTAGTACCATGATAGGGTTAACACATTCATATTTA